CAACCGCGACTCCACTGTTGCGGACGAAAACAATTAGCGTTAATCGCATTCTACAATAGGGAAAAGAATAGGGAGAAACTCACGCGGGTGGGGTCCCCCGGAGTCCGAACGAAGTGAAAACCAATTCCACTCGTTGTCGAGGACCGGCGAGGAACGTGTAGACGCATTGCCGGGATTCTCCTTTGGGATTGACCAAGTTCGGAGCGTGAAAAGTTCCATTTGCTGGACCGTCCGGTGTACTTATAAACTTTTGATCGCACTCTGAAAATCGGCAGAAATGTCGGTCGATTCGATTCTCTTCGGTGGAAAAACTATTCTTACTACGAACCTGTACTGTTGCGAGGACAAAGTAGCAAGATCAGGATAAAGGCAGGCGAGACCAAACTAATCCCAGAGGTGTGCCAGAGTATCGAAGCCATACTGCATCCTACGAATACACACACGTTGCGTTTACACGTTTCGTCGACTCGGTTCTAGAAACTTTCAATGCTTTTTACCATATCGTCAATCTCTGGCCCACGCACGGCAAGAATAGATCGAGTCAACCCCGAAGATCATCTGTAAACAGAGGCGGTTAGCGTGTGTACGGGACATTATCGTATCGCCACCCCCTTCTATCGGTATCGAATCTAACGCGACGATCGCGCATCGATCGTACCGATCGAGGGTTCGGGTTAATAATCGGCAACCTGGGAGCACACCGTTTTCTCGTTTCTTCGTAATCACCTCCTATACTTGCCAGTTACGACCGACGTTTGCACAGGAGAAGAGAATACCAGAGAATACGAGAGAGCGAGTGGAACACGGGGAACGGAGAATGGGATCGGGAGAAATAAAGGATTCTTCGATTCGAACGAAGAAACTCTGTTGTTTCTCCGAGAAAATGGTTCGACCGCGTGTGTCGTCGCTCGCCCCACGGTTTGCCACGCCCTCGATCCTCCGCCGCTACCCCCTTTTCTTCTCGGTACACAAGTATCGGAACCCGGTGTCGCGTCGTTTCCAGCAACGATATATCTCTCGATGAAACGCTTCGGAGCGAGTCGATATCGGAAACGATGGGAAATCCGGAGAATTCGCCTCGACACCGGGTCGATTCGTTCGAAAGACGGAGAAACGCGCAGAGACACGGGCCGATGGTCAATAGACGGAGCGCTCCGTCGTTGACAAACGTCTCTGCACACCGATGTACGAAGCAACGCGCATCCAGACTAACCTCTCTCCCGCGATGCCCCTCCGGTGTTCTCGACGCGTCGACCGAGAATCAAGATTGCGAACGCGTCGCGGTCACTGTTCCGTTTCCACGAGCCGATCCGAAGGCGCGGGTATTCGCGACCCTTCTCGGATACGCAGAGAGATACGGGAAACGCCTAACGAAAACGCTTTTACCGTTCGAGGCTCGATTCCTCGTCTCGTACCTTTCCTCGACTAGAAAAGTCGCCGCGTCACGGCCAACATTCTCTTCCCTCGTTCGTTTGTCCCGAAATGTGCTAGAAAATAGTAGGAAGACCGCGAGTGCGTTACCACCCTCCCGCGTTGCGCCAAATGGACTGGGGTTAAACTGCCGAGCCGCGTTCAGTTTCGTCTCGTCTCGTCTCGTCTCGTCTCGTCTCGTCTCGTCTCGTCTCGTTCCGTTTCGTGCCGCGTCGTATTCTGTCGCGTTCTATCGTCGGATTTTCTGTACACGCCGATATTAGAATACGTACCTTGAGAAATCGATGTTTCGGACAGCTTGAAACGCGACACGATTATTCCGAGTATCCTTGCGGATCGTCGAATCCTGTCGTATCCTGTCAAGGTTCCTCGAACATCCGACACAACGAGAACCGCACTCGACGTAAACTGCGGTAACTGCGCGACGCGATAAACCACCCTCGAACAGAGTAAGCGGGAAACGCGCGCAACCTGTCCCTTTTCCGGTTACACGCTATTCGCTCGACCACCGAAAACATTCGTATTGGAAAAGTCGCGTGATTGATACGGGGAAGAAAACGACGCGAACAGAAAGAAACTCTGCATTCGAACGGATACGCGAACCGAAACACGGTTACGAGGAGCAGAGTGGCAACGCGCGACGCATTGCTACAGACTCGAATGCGCAGTCCTTGATCTTTCTAGCTTTCCGAAAACAGACATTGCACTTTACGTTGGTCTAGTCAGCCTCAACACGCCCTGACATTCGCGAGCAGAGGTCGCTTGGATCTTACGAGCGAGACGGATGAATAGACGAATAATAAATTGATAGGGGAAAACGGGGGATGAAATAGGCAAAACGGTAGAAGCGATACACGAATTTTCAACTATTCGAGACTGTTTGTTCGCTTTCATCGTTGGTGCGTACTCTTATTCTATACTATTCGTTCCAGCGAATCGATGTATGCTTTCGCCCGAGGAAAAGAGAAGAAACCGCGCAGACACAACGACAACGTTCAAGGTAAAGGGTTTAAGGGGTGGAATTGGTGAGATTGGTGAGATTGGTGAAATTGGTGAAATTGGTGAAATTGGTGAAATTGGTGAAACTGGTGAAACTGGTGAAACTGGTGAAGGGTGAAGGGTGAAAGCTAAAAAATAAATGTAATACCGATTAAGAAAGGTAATTCACATACAACTGTTTATTGAGACATGTAGAATACATCTGGTCATACACAAAAATCTTTGACACTTTAAATCAAGCTCCTAGACCGAAAAAGGAACCGTTTCAACATCGTTTTAATAACTTCATCGATAATCAATTACTTTCAACTACGTCACACTAAAATTAGGGGCAACGTTTAAAATTGCGGTAATTAAGAAAAGTAAGCAAAGCAATTGGAAGGTGAATAATAAGAAAAATAATTTGAAAACGCAATAATCAACGATAGAAGGATCTGGTATGTAAGGAATTTTATCGTTCGTTTCTAGCCGTGGAGCTGACATGTGGCAATGTGGCGCGAGAAACATAAACCGTATGTTTGCGTGAATAGTGTGTTATTACAATTTCTTCATTTTTTTTTTGTCATTTTCTTTCATACGTTCTTTTCCGTAATTTCTTTTCCTCGTTAGTGCTAAATAACATCACGTCACAAAATGCATATTCGCAGGAATATAATATATAATATATTTATATATAATTAAAAAAAAACACGTGTTTAGGTCGTTATTAACATAAATTGACCGACCCAAGAAATCACACAACATCCGCTTGACACGGGCCAACCAAAAAGAGTCAAGTTCCCCGAGATGTGATGTGCCGCGAATTAGGGCAATGACCGGGTAAAAAGGGCACGCTTGCTCGCGGCATCGCGGCATCGCGGCATCGCGGCAACAGCATCGTCAGCCACAGTAGTGCATTATCCTAAATGCGACTGATAACCCTTCCCCAGGCACCCCAGCTGCCACACCGGTCAAAGTATAAAATAGCGAAGGGTAAGTGATAGAATATTACGTGGGGCACCTCGAAACTGGGGCTGGGCCAATATTCGCAATGCTAGTACCTAGATCAGTCTAAAGTCTCGTCACCGTGAACTGCCTTCGCTTTTGCCAGTTATGCTTCCTTGCCCCCGCAAGCTCAACTTTTCCTCTTTTATGAACCTCCTATTACGCATTCTTTCTTTTCTTTACTTCTTTTTCTCGTCTCCTTTTATTATTCTCCTCCCTTATACTCTCTTATACTCTCCGCCTCTTCCGTTCCCATTTCCTTTCCTTTCCTCCCCTTCCCTCCCCATTCCCGTTATCCCCTTTTCTCTTCCATCCTTCCTTCTTTCTTTCTTTCATTATTACTCTCGTTTGCTTGCTTGACCTGCCTGTCTGCCTGCCTGCTTTTACGTGTATAATCTTTCTTTATTACAGTTTCAAAGAAACACCAGAATTTATAGTGAAACATTATCGTGTCGCAAAAACCCACTCAGTATGATTAGCAATATCAACCTTATCGTATCATTAATATTAATTATTTTATTATTATTAATATTATTATTAATATTATTATTATTATTATTATATCCTTGATATTATGATTTTATAAATAGGGTGTGTGTAGGTAAGTAGAGTAGGTAGGTATAAAATACGGTAAGTGAATAATGAGTTACAGGAAAGGGGACTAAAGGAATGAAAGATAATAGTATTGACCGGTACAGATAAGA